TTCCCCTTTGGACCTGATACTGGCACTGTTTTACATATGAGCATAGGAAATGAGAATTCTCCTCTTTGTTGCCGTATTCTTTTCATGAGCCATGGGTTTCTTAGCCCGTGGCCCATTTCGGTCATTGACTTCCTGGCTTTACTTGTTACATGGTAGCATTGGGGTGTGCAGATGGTGTCACTAAGTGGAGGGCCTGCTCCTGAAGCCAGAGGAGGGCGACCTCAAGTCCACTAGTCTCTGATTTCCTTCCTTTACCTTTCCGGTTGTCACGCTGTTTCTTTTTGTTATTTTACCTCTTTGCCTGGGAATGAAAAGTCCTCAGTTCTCGGGAAATTAGATGTTACGTAGCCTGCGGGCTTGTCTTTCCAGTTTCTGTTCATTTGTGTTCTCACCGTTCCGTTTCCTGTATTGTGTTGTCTGCCTCCTTTATTCAGAAGCCATCTTTGTTTTGGTGTCCCCGCCCCTTGCTGTTTTTCTCACTGCGTCTCCTGACTTGTGGCTCACAGCTTGCAGAGGTCTGGATCTGACTCCAGAGTCCATGACTTGGAAACCCAGTGGGAAGCACAGCCGAGTGAGAGGCAGTTAGGTCACGAGGGCTGTGTGCTGCCAGAGGAGTGGAAGCCTGTGGCTGGAGAGTGCATCATTAGTTCATTCTCCGGTCCCTCACACCCTCTCTTGTGCTCTTGCCCTGTGACAGGACCAGGGCAGGTCAGGAGAGACAGTTCAGCTTGCCCGCTCTTCGCAGTGACTGCAGGCTGCCATCAGTCTCTCAAGGTTCAACGATGTCTACTGTGCCTCACCCATGAAGAGAAAGGAAACCTTTGCCTGTAAACATTGAGGAGGGTAAAATTTTTGTTAAATCTAGAAAATTACCATTTATGTCCTGTTCAGTTCAGAATTCTATTTTGCCCTAATCTTTATAGCTTTAAATTAATTTCAAGACACACATAGTTTGTACCCACTGGTCATACACCAGGTACCATCAAAACAGAGTAGTTCCTGGGTAATTTATGTATTGGGGATGAGCTGTGTAAGGCGAAATGCAGGTACACATTTGTTTAAAAAAATTTGTTTAAAAAGGCTGTATGCGTTTTGGGGTTTAGATTTTTAAAGTTAAAATGGAGAACATATTATGTACTGTATGCTTCTTTGGATTGGCCAGGTGTGAATGTCACTTCAAACCTGGTGAAGAGGAGCATTCTCCTTGAGTGAGGAAGTAAGGGATTAACCTGGGATTAGGCTGGGTGCTCTCAGACTTGGTTTCAGGAATTGTGAGTAACAATATGAACTTGTCTTAAAAATATATGAAACATTGAATTTAGGAAGGAACTAAATGTGAATTACATTAAAAAAAATAAAAAAACCAAAACAGGCAGATTTCTATGGGATAGTAAGAGAGAAGTTGGGTTGTCTCTGGATTTGGCTTAATGAGAACGTGTTTTACTCCGTGCCTTGCCCTTGGGGAGCTGGAATCCTGATTGGCACGTTTGGTGACTAAATCATGGCAGGTGAGTAAGTCTGTGAGGATGAGGGGCGATGTTCTTGTTAGCTGAGGTACCAGCCTGAATGGAGCCATGAAGGATGGTTTGAGCATCGTTATTTGTGTGTGACAGTCTCTAGTCTGTTGTAATTAAAACTCTGTAAGGGGCACAGGTGGATAGATGAGGCAAGGGCCTGTTTTGTGTGTGTAGTATAAATATGGTGAGAGGACCAGTCAGGGGTGGAGACCACTGGTGTTGGGATGGATTCTGGTTGTGTTTCTTTAGAAGGTCTCTTAGTAATTAGCATGTACACAGTGTGCATTACACAGGAAAAATATCCCTGACCTGTTGGATGTAGAAGCAGTAAGGAAGAAGTCAGGGCTGATCCCAGAATTCTAGCTCTGGGAAATTGGCATTACTGTCCTTGTCATTAAAAGAGGAGCTTCTGGAGAAGAAGCTGGCCAAGCTGTGCTGAACACACTAGTAGTCTGGCATGCTGCTTACATCTTCAGCTGCCTGTAATCGATACGTTGCTGTGAACATGTATGTGTTCCTGCATGGAAGGCACCCACTGGCTCTTGTTTGGTTAGTCTGCAGCATTTAAGAACAGCGTAAGAAGAGACAGAAAAGACTTGATTATTTTACGTGTCATTTCCAACCTGCCTTTTTGTGCAGGACTTACTTAAATTTTATTAAAAGGAGGAAAAACTGTGTTGAGCTGTAATTCTTCTTTCCACCTTTTATTATGTGTTAGTGATTAACTCTTGTTCTCAGGTGGATGAATTTGAACTTGATCAATTATCTGATAGTAATTACAAGCACAGAATGATTATCATTGCTCAAGTGACATTCTGACTTCATCTCTCTATTTCTGGCACTATTCATAAGTGCTTGCATTTGTTTGACTTGCTCTTTTGACTCTGTCATTGATGTCAAACTACTTAAACCGAGTAGTGCTGAACAAAGTCCTGGGGTGTTTAAAACCCTCAGGACATGCCTTCTGGGAGGAGGAAGGGAGCCGGTTCAGTCTTTTCCCCTGTTGTAGACTTGGATGTTCTGATTCTTGCTTCTTGGTGGTTTCCTTTGGGTTTTTCTAGCTCTTTGCAGGGCTGTGCTCTCCCCCACCCCCTCAGTTGTGTCTGCCCCTCCTTAGGGAGGGTTCTCTGCTGCTGAGGTCGGCACTGTCTGGATAAATGTGTCTAGACCGTGGGCTAGTTCTGCCTTCCTGACTCTAATGAGACATCGAGAGAGAAGGCGTCAGCCATTGTGCTGAGGCTTTCACAGCACAGGATCATACAGTGCACGATTTATAACACAGATGTGATCTCTCCCACGTCCCTGGGAGCTAGACTCCAGGAGAAAGTCCCCGGCATGGTTTCTTTATTCTGAGGGGTTTTCCTTGCCTGTAGGTGACTTTTTTCTTCTCCTGTCTTTATGTGGTCTGTCCCTGCCACTGTCTCTTTCCAGATACATTTCTTCTTAGGGTGTAAGCCATGTTGACTGGGGCCACCTGATAGACTGATTTCAAATTAATACCTCTTTTAAAACCTTTGTCTAAACACAGGGGTGCTGGAGAGATGGCTCAGTGATTAAGAGCACTGACTGCTCACCCAGAGGACCTGGGTTTGACTCTCAGTACTCATTGGTGATTCAACTGTAACTCCAGTTACGGGGAGTCAGGTGTCCTTTTCTGGTCTCTTTGCTGCTGCTTCATGTGTGTAGTGTATGCATGTATGTGTAGGCAGAACACCCATAAAAAAGAAAAATAAAGGTGGAAAAGATTAACCGGGCAATGGTGGCGCACGCCTTTAATCCCAGCACTCGGGAGGCAGAGGCAGGGGGGTCTCTGTGAGTTCGAGGCCAGCCTGGTCTATAGAGAGAGTTAGCCAGGGCTATACATAGTTTGGTGGTATAATACTTGCTTAGCAGGCTTGAAGGCTTACATTCCATTCTCGGAAGAAAAAAGGAAACCTCTGGTGTTGGGGTGATGGCTCAGGGATTAAAGAGCTTACTGCACAGGGCGGGGACCTGAGTTCATATCCTCTGCACTCATATCCATATGGAAGCTGAGCATGGTGGCATGTGCTGTGAACTCAGCGCTGTGGGATGCATACAGTTGGATTCCTGTTCCTGGCCAGCTAGTCTGTTCATAATGGTGAGCTGTAGGTTCAGAGAGAAACCCTTTCTCAGAAAATACTGGGTAGAGAAGCAGTTGAAGCCAAGACATCTCCATATCAGCCTTTGGCTTCCACACATGCTTAAGTGCACATGAAACAAAGAGGAGTAAATGGCAAAGGAGGAAAATAGTGATTTTGACTAAATGGTGAAAGTTTGTGTGTGTAGTGTGCTGTGATTTATAGGACGGGTTCACATCATGTCCTTCCCATCCCAGCATAACACAGGAATGCTGCCCTTGTTCCCAGAGAGACCACCCAGAAGTTTCCCGTCTCTGCACCCAGACCTTCAAACTCTGCACCAGCCTGTTGCTGCTGCATGAGGGAGGTTGAAAGAGTAGTCCTCGGGCAGATCCCACGACCTTCGCTGATTGGGAAGTTGGGGCATTAGGGACATTTCCTTGGCAGTCAGAAAGCTACAACTCTCTGAAAATAAGGAGACAAAGCCACAGTTTTGGTGAGTCTCTTTTGTTAGGAAGCATTTCAAGCATAGAAGACGTGAGATTGCTGTAGTGGGTTCCCAGGGTCTGAAAACTCGGGCTCAGCAGTTAGAGCTTTGCAGTACTTCCTCGGTTGTCCCTTCTAACTCGTAAATCAACTCTCAGCAAGGTATCCGCACCTCTTAAGGTGTGCAGCTTTGAAAATGGACTTTTTCCTACCCAGCCTGATGCCCATCGGAGCTTCCTGACCACTTCCCAAGTGTCACTTTACGACTGGCCCGTGCATGTGAGCATCCACATGAAGACATTTGTTACATGTTCAACATAGGAAGTTACGCTTGGGTAGCTTGTGCTCAAGGACACATGGTTCTCAGGTTTCAGCAGAGAGTGAATGCATTAAGTTGAATTATTTACTCATTTGGGTGGAGTGTATGGCAACTCTTGTTGAAAAACAGATTCAGGTCATGGTCCTCAAGAATAATCTAAACACTTTATTCATATGTGCTAATCCTATGTTAATAAAAGGGCTGAAATGTCCCAAGAAAAATGTAAGCAAGTAAATAAAGAAAAACATGGAAGGACATCTGCAGAAACTGCACTAGACTGCGTTTCAGGGTGCTCAGCACTTCTGCTTAACATGACTTTGTGCATTTTTATCCATGTGGAGACTGTTTTCCAGTCATAGCTCACAAATACACAAATACAAAGCTGATGTACATCAAGGCTGATATACATCGAAGCTGATATACCACTTTGGTGAACGTTTGCTTCTGTCTAATATTTTTATAGTCTTCATGTAGGAATGCTGCGATTGTGAGTTGTCAGGGATTTTGGAATGCAGCTGTTTGATAGCTTTTAAAATGCTGTGTTCTTGTAATCTGCTAACATTTTGTCTCTCTCAATAGGTATAAATGACCAAGGACTGTACAGAGTTGTGGGGGTGAGTTCAAAGGTCCAGAGACTTCTGAGTATGTTGATGGGTATGCCTCTTTAATCATTTTTCCATGCACTAATTGTTTATGCTCATTTACTTTGCAATTTAATATTTCAGAGTTAATATTGTGTGCTTAGGAATACACTCTTCTCTTGAACTGCTTCCTTGGGTACGCCGTGTTCCCGGCCGAGGCTGGGCGTTTGCATCGGCTGAGATTATCCATGTCCCTGTTCCTTATTAAAAGCAATGCAGGCAGGACAGTGTAGTTCTCCATTGCCTTTCACAGTAGATCCCTGTCAGGCCTCTGTAATCTACATGTTTTCCAAATTACCTGTCCAGAATCCTGACGGTACATTTCGTTAGACAAGACCACAGGAACTCGCTCTTTTTTATAGTTTCCCAAACTGTCATTTGCCAGGGAGGGCCTGTGTTCCGTAGATTCGTTGTTTGCAGCCCTCAACAGGCTCTTCTCCAGAGCCATGCTCCATCTGTGCTGATGACACAGTGTTCCTTGGCATCCCAGACTGGAGGAGCCAGAGTGAATTCATTTTGTTACCCCAGACATTCTGTGAATGATAAAGTGCTTTTGCATTATATGCGGCTGACAGTTTGGTGCAACCTGTAAGACGCTCCCATCTCCTCCACCCCGGAGCAGACTGCCCTTGAAGGGTGGTCGTAGTTCAGCAGCTTGGAGGGCCTGGCTATCAAACCAGCCTGTCATTTTGGCCTTGCTACTTAAGAATTTGATACCTTCCTCTAACTGGTCAACAGGAACAACGCCTTCAGGTGTGCTGGGGATTCATTTAAATGTATCTGTATTGAAAGCTCAGTTTTGAAAGTATAAACTAAGATGAATAAGACCAACCTTATGAATAGCATGGCTTACTGGGCTGTCTGTGAAGCAAGGGTTTCATGAGCAGTTTTCACGCTATGAACCGCAGGGAAAATTCCCCATCTTCAGTGCAGAACTTTATTACAATATATTCGCTTTCATGGGCGACTTCCATTTTCTGCCTCTCTGCTTTAACTTGGGTGTGCAATTCTGGCAGACACATTTTCCTTTTTACCATTAGTGGGCTCCAGATTAAACAGTCAGGTTGCCAGGGGTCCAGTAGCAGCTGGAAGAATTTAATGGTCATACAGCATCTGCTTTTACTTAATTTTAAAATTAGAAACACTAACTTGGTGTTACAATGCTTAGGACTGGAAGATGATATTGTGACCAGAATGCGTTTAGGCCAGAAGGCACATTTTGGTGGTAAATTGGCCAAAAGGACCTTGGCCTTATTTTGATCACTATTTTGTTTATGCTCAAGGAAACTTTGAACAAGGATATTTCTGTGGTCACCCCAAGTGTTAAGTTGTCTTGAAATTTGTTCTTAGCCTCACAGAGTCCTGCATGTACAGGATTATTCAATTCCAATGATAATTCCTCTGCTCTTAGGAAAAATCCTAAGACAGCCTTTAACTCACAAGGTGTTTTAAAATTTCAAAGCCCTCAAAAGTCTACGACCCAGAGAGGCCTGGGAGATGGGTCAGTGGGTAAAGTGTTTGCTGCCCAAGGGCAAAGACCTGAGTTTAGTCCCTAATGCTGACATAGACGTTACATGGAGTGTGGATGCTTGTAACTCCAGTGCTGGGTTGGGAGAGTCAGGAGGGTCCCAGGGGCTTGCTGGCCAGTCAATCTAGCCAAACAGTGAGCTTGAGCATCCATGAGAGACTCTGTCTTAAAAAAAAAAAAAAAAAAAAAGCAACAGAGAAAGGAAATATCAGCCTCTGAGCCCTGGATGCACATGCATGGGGTAAGTTCACCTGCATGCACATATCTAAGCACACATGTACACATAAGGGCATGCATAAACATAGGTAACTAGAAAACCATCTTTTTTTTTTTTTTTTTTCCTGTATCCGAAAAGTCCAGACACAGTGTGTCACAACTTCATCCAGCTACTGGCAGGGAAAACATTATGTTTTCAGTAACATAGTGCAAACAGAGGAAGTTAGAGGATTGGCAAGAAGACATTAACTTGTTATTTCCTCATTAAATAATTCATTTAAGAGGGCTGTGCCATGTGGATTTGTTTGTATTAATCTGCGTAATCTGTAATATGAATCAGATTGCCCATCGAAAGTGTAGCAGCAATACCATTCATTAGTTTGTTACTAACATAAATCTTAGTCCTGACAAAAATAGATGTCATCACTGTTTCCTGATCAATTTACCATTTTCTTGAGGTATTCTTTTCATCCCAATTAGATATTTCAGTCATTTAATACCATTTAAAAAAGCATTTCAGAGTTTCAATAACCGTGCATACACATCCCACAGGACTCTTCTGTTTACATCATGTTAAGGTTGGATCCTGAAGGGGGAAGGCCATGAGCCTGCCAAATGCTTACTTTCTTCTAAAAGCCAGTCCGTCTTGAAAGTGTAATATGTTCATTTAAAATTTGAAAAATTTTCAGAGCACATTGTATTGGTAATGGACTTTTCTTCATGAAAAATGAAAACAAATTGAATTTTTAAGCATCCTGGAAAAAGTTCCAAATCATTTTATGTTTTTAGAAGAGGACTGTGTTTACTTGATTGGCTAGTTCTCAAGACCTGTTGAGATTTCTTTAAAGAAAAATGATTGCCACTTTTACATGAAATTTTATCATTTCAGTTTCGAATGTTTTAAGTATTCTTCAAACACTGAGATGTAAACGTTGGTGCTGATTCCCAAGGCTTGATTATGCTTCATCTCTTGAATGATATCCTCACTTATTCCTTCCTGTGTGATTTTCCCTTCCCTGGTTAAGATGAAAATGGACAAAACTTTCTCCCCATTTCCCTTACTTCCTCCCCTTTCCCTACGCCCTTCCCAATGTCTGCTTCTTCCCATTCCTCTTCCTCCTGCTCTCTCACCTGCCTCTCTCTCCTGCCTCCTGGAGATATCAGCTGACATAGAAACTTCCGGACATTCTCTCCTCCTCCAGGCCAGGTACAGGAGGAGGCTGTAACAGGAATCTCAAAAGGTCTTATCAATAAAAACAAACCTGGGGGCAACGCTGGAAGATCAGAGAAGCAGAACAAGCCACAGCCACCTCACTTTGCCAATTCCTCAGCTGATCCTGTTTCCTCAGACTGGAAGCTTCTGAGTCCCCATCCAGAAAGAATCTCAGCTGAACTGCTTCTTGAAAGCCTGAAAGCTTAACCAGCTCTAGTTCCTGGTTTTCATGCCTTATATACCTTTCTGCTTTCTGCCCTCACTTCCTGGGATTAAAGGCGTGAGTCACCAGGCCTGGCTGTTTCCAGTGTGGCTTTGAACTCACAGAGATCCGGATGGATCTCTGCTTTAGGAATGCTAGGATTAAAGGTGTGTGTGCGCCACCATTTTCTGGCCTCTATGTCTGTCTAGTGGCTGTTCTGTTCTCTGACCCCAGATAAATTTATTAGGGTCTACAATATATTGGGGGACACAATATCACCACGGGAGGCTTCTCTTCCCTTCTGGGGATCCTTTCCCTGGGAATCAGCAGGTGGTGTCTGCTGAGGTTCCGGCCCTCTCCGCCTTACCTGGAGCATGCATGGTGACTGCTCCTCTGAGGAAGCCACTTCCCTCCTTCCCTGCGCCTTCACTGTCTCTAGGTCAGGACAAGTAACAATCCGGGAGGAAGTGGTTTTCTTTTCTTTTCTTTCTGGTTTTAGTATTAGAAACATGGAGCTGATGAGGAAGGCGAGGAAAAGTAGCAGAGGAAGCGTCTTGGGGAGTCAGTGCCAGTTCCTAGTGAGACAGGGATGTACAGATAAGTTACAACAGTTAGGGCAGAGTAGGACTGGTCAGTGCCTCCTGGGTATCTTTCTTCTTCCCACATTAGAATGAAGCAGGAGCAGAGCAGGGGATTCTGGGAAAATGTGCTTATGCATATATGGTCTGGTTTACAAAAGACTGGGTGGGTTTATTTCCTTTCAGACAGAACCATAGAAAACAAGAAACCAGGACATTAATTTAAAATATTTTTTGTTTACTTTATTGGATAATTTGCATACATAGATCGGACAAAGTGAGCAATGAGGCTGGAAACACAATTTTTGGTGATAAAGTGTATTTATAAGACACATGCACTTTTTGCTTCTTCAAATATTCAAAGGAAAAAAAAAGAATTGGCCCAAGTCCTAGTTGGCTAGGGTGCTGACTCCCGCATAAGTGATGCTTTGCAGTGAGTTGGAAGTGCATACTTCCAGCTTCAAAGAAATGACCAGTGCTTATGCAATAAGGAAATATTCATATAACAAAAATGCCAGCTCTTCAGTTCTGTGCTTGTTAGTTTAGATTTTTAACTAATGAGTTTGTTGTTCTTTGGTCGGGAAGGAAGTACAAGTCCCCCTCATTTGTGGTAGAACATATATTCTAAATGAACACTCTAAACATATTTTAGGTGTGAATCCTAAATAAATTAACACATAGCTCACTGATTGCAAAGGACTGCCAGGTATGATTGAGTTATTTGAAAACAGCAAACAGTTAATAGATGATTAATTACATAGACATACAGTCATTAACTTATGATATGACAGCTAGCTGTTTTTGTTCTGTGAGTTTAGAAGAACGACTTAGTTTTCCATAGAAAGAATTTGAATCTCAAAATACAGACTGATAATTTGGTAGAAAGTAGAAAATAAAAGACTTCCTTTAGAAGCCTCTTGGATTTTAAAATGGTGATTTGCTTGTAGCAAGTTTATTGAAAATGTTATCTGACTTGTATATTAAAATGAGATTTAAATAATTGATTTAATGAGAGAAGGAATATTCAGTTACAGAAGTAATTGGTTGGCAAAGCTGTTAGAACAGAATTATTTAGTCCCAGTTATAAAGGATTGCATCTTTAATCAGGGTGCTTAATTTGATTTCTCGGACGTTCTGTGGCTTGTCTGACAGGCTCAATAACAAATGAGTTCTGAATTGAAGGGACTGATCAGAATGTGATCAGCGTCAGCTGCCGTTGCTGTAGTTTATTGCATATGGTGTCAGTCCCTGTAACCGAGCGATGCTGGAGTGCCTCGAGTCTCCAGCCCTCTGAGTAATTGACTTCACACGTGCCATGGCTGTCCACTAGCCCCCCTTCCTGTTTTACTCTGAGATGAGTCCAGCACGGAGCAGTCCTCCTTTGGCTGCGTCATGCCCGGGCCTAAAGCTTTTCGGGCAGTGTGCTCAGGCGGTGTGGTGGGCCGCTCTGACAGCTCTGCTTTAACGCTTTTAAAAAGGAGTGCCAGCAAGGTACTTTCCCCTGCGGAGACAAATCTCGTGGAAATCTTGGAGGAGGGAATCTGGGGACAGCTAGTTCTTTGTTTTTAGTTGAGGCCTTATTCTGGAGTGAGGGAGGAAGAGCCTCTTCCAGAAGTTGCTGTCTTCTGTCTGTAGGAGTGTGGAAAGCCAGGTAGATTTCTAGTGGTGCTTGACACCCTTCTTTATAACCTGTTCTCTGCCTCCTTCCTTTGTGGAGAGAACCGCCATGGAATGTCCTTGCTTTTAATTGACTGTGCAGTGATCTGCTGCTTTTGATAATTCATGGAAGTCTGCCCATGTCCGTCCTTTGTTAGCACGCTCACACTAGTTTATAGGAGTGTTCACATTTGTTAGCATGCTCACACTAGTTTATAGGAGCGTTTACTATGCTTAGATCTCTTTGGTGCAGATGAGGATCTCAAACTCGGTTGGATTTGGGACTTCCTGGCTTGGGGTGGTTTACTGTTCCAGGCTGGTACAGCACTGAAGCTCAGCTGTGGAGACCCAGGCTGCCAGCTGTGCTGGGTGTGCTGACCCAGATGGACAAGAATGGTACCATCTTCAGAATATTTGCCGTTCCCATTGTCCTGCCATTTCTGCCATTTTATTTCAACCTGGATTAACACTGTAAACTCCTGCCCCCCCCCATCTGTCTGTCTGCCTGTCCCCCCTCCTCTGTTTGGACTTGTACACTTTTCTTTAGAACACTAGCTCTGTAAAAGAGCATTTGGAAACAAAATATCAGCAACACACTTTTAGGACAAATAAAACTAGTTTAATTGAGAGTGAACACCAGAGGTGCTGCCCAGAGGCATCTAGTGTTCTGGATGGTAAATAGATTGCAATGTTGGAGTGAAGGATTACTCACAGACATCCTTTCACTTAAGTAGAGTTTGTTTTTTACTGTATATCTTAATTGCAACTTTTTTTTACTAATACAAAGAAATAAAAATTGTACATGCTAATGTAGTAACATGGTGTATCGACACGTTTACATTGTAGGATATTAAATTAATAGCATTTGAGCTTCTGTTGTCAGGTTTCTGTTTGGGTCGATCATATGTTAACCTTCAGAAAACAACTGTGAAAGCAACTGTAAGGAATACAGACACTGGATGTGAGACCAGACTAATTACTCTGTCTCCCACTGACATGCTGCCATTTTAATCATCAGTTTACCTTCATGGTGACAGAGTTTCTCATGTGGTAACTCAGTGCCAATGGAGACAAGCCATATCCATGCTGCTGATAGCACCACATGCTCCAAGCTGTGGCTGCTGACTGGCGCCTTTAATGGTGATGCGACATCGCTTCCCATGAGCTGCCCTGTTTCTTGCTTCTGCACTTCTAGTCTATATTCATTTTAGATCCTTTTGCTTTGGTCTCTCCTGTACTAGAAATGTCTAGTAATACAGGGTAGCTTATGTTATTATTAAATGATTGTATACAATGTTTTTCTTGAGAAACTCCAGAATTAATTATCTGTTGCTTTAACCACTTAAAATTGGAAGTTTCGTGAGCTAGTCAGGACTTGGGATGGTCAGATTTTTGACTAATTTTCATTTTTGTTTGTTTGCCAGATGCAAAAACATGCAATGAGCTGGACCTGGAGAATTCCTTAGACTGGGAAGTGAAGACGGTTACAAGTGCCTTGAAACAGTATCTGAGGTGAGCTGCTGTCACAGACCAGGCATTTGCTCTGCAGAAATGGCGGTAGTTGTGTTGACACTTGCTGACAAGGAAAGTCTGTGAGGTACCCGATAATGTTCTGGAAATAAAGCCGGTAGTGGCGAGCACTGTCTTAGTTCCTGTTCTGTTGCTGTCGCCATGGCCACTGAAACTTAGAAAGGATGGCATTTAATTGAGGGCTTGCTTACAGTTTCAGAGAGTCATGGTGGGAAGCATGGCGGCAGGCAGGCAGTCAGGCAGGGAGACAGGCAGGCAGGCAGGCAGGGAGACAGGCGGGCACTGGAGCAGTAGCTGAGAGCTCATATCTAACCCATAAGTTGCAAAGACAGACAGATAGACAGACAGACAGACAGACTCACACACAAACATGGGAGGTGGGGGACTAGGTCTGACATCATTTTTGAACCCTTAGAGCCCATCTATAGTGACATACCTTCTCCAACAAGGCCACGCCCCTTAACCCTTCCAAACAGTTCCATCCACTGGGGACCAAACATTCACATATATGAGTCTATGGGGCCATTGTCATTTAAACCACTGCAAGCACCATAGTTAAGTAAAGTGCAGCAGAGGAGCTTGCATCCCGAGTAGATGTAGAACGTTCCCACTATACACTGTGTAGCAACAGAGAATCTTTTATTTATGTTTTAAGCTAAAATGAAGGCTGCTTTAATTTAACTACTCTGAACAGAACAATATATAAGACATGAAAGTATTTAAAAAGTTTACTTGTTGAGGTTTTTAAGAAAATTTAAGATCAGTTTATTATAGAAAATAACAGGTCTGGGATTGGAAAATCTCAGCAGTTGGGAGGCAGAGGCAGGTGGATTTCTGTGAGTTCGAGGCCAGCCTGGTTTATAGGGAGAGTTCCAGGATCGCCAGAGTTACACAGAGAAACCATCTTAAGGAAAAAAAAAGAAAAGAAAAGCGTCCACACTTTGAAGTGCTGATTCATTTCTTTAGTAAAGGAACTTACTGACTGAGAAGCGTGTGGCTTCCTGAAGAGCAGCAATAGGGAGTAACAGTTACGGGTGGGCGTCTCTGCTGCGGGTGGCTCTGTGAGGTTTGATGTTTCTCTGGCACAAAGGGCGAGAGGTGGCCGCGCTTGCGCAGAGCAGGGCAAAGGTAGGGTGCTGAGACCATTGTAGGGTGGTTTTCATGTAAAATTACATTGGCTTCCGTGAGCACACGAGAATCTAATTATGCTTTACTTTGTATTTTTTCAATTGGGACATTTCAAACTATGAGCCCCAGAGGGGGTGTGACGGGTCCTTGTGACTCACTGTGCTGCTCGAGGCGGCGGCGGCGGCGGCGGGATCTGTCTTCTTCCTGCGGTCTTTGCCCTGCCACCCTTTCTCTTGATACTAAAAAGATTTTTGCAAAAATATTGCTGTACTAATAAACACTTAAACGAATATATATTTAAAACAGAAAGACCTTTTAAAAGGGTAATCAGAATACAATTATTACTGCTTGCAGAATCAGTACCAGTCAGTATTCCTCAGCCTCTTCTCACAGGATTTAAATGACACTGATGTTTCAGTGTGCTTTAAGTCAGATCTAATGTGTACAACCCTCCCTGTCCCCAACCAGTGATGGTGTTTGTTGATGAGCCTGAGTTATTTTTTAGATAGTTCTGTACATTTTCTATGGCCTTTTATACCCTCATGGTGTCGTACAGCGTGTGTCTCTAATCTTTCTATTTCTTGCTGTCTTTGCTAGGGTCAGTGGGGTCTTATTTTGTGAATTTATTTAAGTAGTCCACCATGCTGCTTTCTTCCTGTTGTCTCAGGTCAGCTTGTGGCCACTACCTGCTTGTCATCCTTCTTAAGTCTTATTTCATTATCAGCTTTGGAGCATTTCATGTAAAGATAATTTTCCTTCTTAAATTTATTGTGTACATTATTATTACTCTTAGTTGTTACAGGAGCAAAGACAAAAGCTAAGCATACATCCTTAGCGTCAGATTGCCATCAGCAGTGACTGTGGTTAGGAAGTGGATTAGATGAAGGAGCCCTTCTGTATCACTTGGCTAGAAGCTCCCTGGAGAGATGGATGTTTTATGGTGCTGTCCATTGTAGTGTCCCATCATGTCTCGGAAGCATTCAAGCAGTGTTCTCAACTCTGGCTGTCTAGAAGATATTTGATGGTATCTGCATGCTTTTTTGAGGCTTACTTATCTTTATTTTATGTGTATGGATGTTTTACATGCCTGTGTACCATGTTTGTGCAGTGCCCATGGAGGCCACACAAGGGCATCAGATTTCTATGGAACCGAAGTTACAAAGGATTCTTAGCTGTAATGTGGGTCCCGGGAACTTGACCTGGGCCTTCTAGAAAAGCAGTCAGTGAGCTTAACTACTAAGCCATCTCTGCAGCCCAGGCATACATTTTTTTTCTTTATTGTCACAGTTACTGGAGGAGTATTACTGACACCTGGTAGATAGAGGTTGGGAATGAGCTGCTAATCTCCTACAATTCATAGAACACTCTCCCCGCTCCTTTCTTCAAAGAATTATCCTGAATGGCAGTAGTGCTGAAGTTGAGAAAGCCTGTGTTAGATGGGCCAAGGAAAGAGTGGATGGGATAAAAACAGGATGAATTGTGTATGCTCCACTCTGGCAGGTGGCCTTGGATCTATTTACTGTTTGTATCTTATACCTAGTGCAGAAAAAGAAGTTGACCAAAATGACAGTTATGGATGGAAAGCTTGAGAGAAAACATTGAACTCTTGGTAGTCCACTGTGCTTCCTGCTTCTTGCTCCGCAGGGTCCTTTCTTTTTCCTTGTAGGGAGTTAACTTGGTAAACTCGAGGCTTACAAGAAGGCACACGCACACTTTGCTTTTGGGTCCTGATCCTCTCTGCAGCGTTGTTTGACCTCTTTTCTCATTACGTTGCTTTATTCCGTTGAATTCCTCTTGAAGTCAGCCATTGCATACAAAAAACATTCTGAGACACTGTTATTGTACAGCTTAGTTCTAAATCTAAGCATTCTGCCAGAGTTGAGCGATTATCTTAGGACGGCAGAAGCTCTGGGAGATGTACAAGGCAGGTTGCAATCTTTCCTCCTGTGCCCTGATTAGCAACTGTAGGTGCATTAATTAGGATTTAGGTAACATTTTTCTGGTTGATGTTTTAAGTGGGAGAAAACTTGATTTTTTTTTTTCTACCTCCATATTCCTTCAGTGTTGTGGCCTAAAGTGTTTATTTCTTCTGGCCTAAGAGACATTGCTATTTGCTGGGGTAGTGAGGTCTGGAGCCAGCCGGCTGGTCAGGTTGAAATCTCAGTTCTGTCACTTCCAACACCAGGACATAGCATGGAACAGCAGCGTTTCTTTCCTCTTAACCATTTGCCTGTGAATACTTCCTGCAAATTGCCAGCCACTGTGTGGGATGCAAAGCTGGAGACAGAGGAGGCGTGGTCAAAGCACCAGGCGGAATCAGAAAATTGGGGAGCGGCCGGCTGTGCAGGAAAAAGAAAACAGTGCACAGTGAACCCACATGTGGCCCCTCCTTTCTCTTCTGCTGACCAGGCAGTGTTTTGCTTCTCTCTGGGAGAGGCCTGGATCCTATCTAGGCAGTCTGTGAGTTTGATGGCCTGTGATGTATTCATTGCTAGTTTCCCACTGTTAGTGTGGAAATTGGAATGGGTTTTTAGGGAAGGACGCACCAGCTTGGGTAAATATTATGATTTCCATCCTCCAACAGATCCCAACGGGTGGCAGAGAGAGGTGGCTTACATACATGTTGGGTGGGAGGCTGAGAGATGCAGTGACTCAGTGTAATATAAAATTTGGATGGAGAACTTGTCATTTTTATTACTGCTTCCCTAACATTAATGATATTTATTTTTTGTTCAGTATTGCCAGCTAGACATATGGCAGTGATATAAGTGGCTAGAGGATATTTAGAGACAAATTCAGTCTTACTGGAGAAGAAATACTCTCCACGGTGTTGCTAAGTGTTCTTTTTTCCTTTGCCTTTGACCCAGCACTTGAACTTTCCTTCTGAGGAAATGGATGACCTTTCCTTTCCCTTTCCTGCTTGTCTGTACTTTGAAATGAACCCCCGAGAATTGACCTCTCATTGTCCGTCTTCTGGTTGAGGCTCTGATGTCACTGGGAATCTTTTCCTTGAATTAGTCAGGGAAAGGAGAGGGTGGAGAGAGGAGCCGAGGCAGCTGATTTTCTCTGTCTTCGGTTGTCGCTGTTGGCAAGTGCCTCCTTGTGTG